AGGCAATTCTCCTGCCTCAGCCTCCTGAGTAGCTGGGATTACAGGCATGCGCCACCATGCCCAGCTGATTTTTTGTATTTTTAGTAGAGACGGGGTTTCACCATGTTGATCAGGATGGTCTTGATCTCTTGACCTCGTGATCCACCCGCCTCGGCCTCCCAAAGTGCTGGGATTACAGGCTTGAGCCACCGCGCCCGGCCACTGGACTACTTTTAACAATAAAATGATGGTCAATCATCACCCTATAAGAACAGTCAGAGTCCCATTTTTCACAGAAATTCTCATGTGAGACTGATGAATCAGGACACAGTGACAGACAAGAGACTACGCTGAAGGGGGGTCAGTTCACTTATGTGAGCATTGCATACATATTGCTACGCTTCCAGAACACTAGGGACTTAAAGTTACCCTTCCTGATGCAGTCAATGGATAGCTATCAATAGAAACCACACATCTAAATACACCACACCATTTAAATTTGGGTTAAAAGAGTACGAATAGCTCTACATTATAGTTTATATGATTCTGTTCAGAAAAATTAAGTAACTGAAGGGAATTGTCATAAATGGATTAAGTTTCCCTTAATTATTTTACTAAATATTATATTAAGGTATTGGCTGAATTCATTCACTTCAGAGAACAGTAAAAAAATTATAGTAAGGTAAAAGAAATGAGTAGCTAATTCTGAGCAATAAATGTATTAGAGGCATATTCTATAGTATTTCTGTTATCTCTTTACTGATATTTTACACTGGAAATAGCGGAAACCATCTGATACCACCTAAACTCATTTTATGGGAAGCAGTGTATACTAGCTAGCCATAAATACACTATCAGCCAAAAATACAATTTGCTTAAAAGTTGTGAACTGACAAAACCTGGACAATAATTGGCTGGTATTACTGACATCTTCCATAAAAATGAAATAGAACTAGCCTACGATGACAACTTTTGTGATGTGGACTGTACTTTCTTAGTACCGTTTGAAAGTAATTAAAGATTGGACTTTCACGGGGAGCAAACTGGTGACGCCAGCCCCCAGCGACCTTGTGCTCTGCTGCAGCTCACCTCTGGATGATGAACTCCCTGGCGCCATCCCACAGGTGCCCATGCACGATCCACTCATCCACTGTCTGCAGGTAAGGCCGCACCGTTTCCACCCAGAGAGAGAACAGGAGGGAGACCTGAGGCAGAGATTGTGCACAGTCAGCTATCAGGGCTCCCTGGCCACTAGAACAGAAGGAGGTTTAAACATTTCTGAAATGCCTTGAAATTTAAAAAATCCAAAAACATATACTATAAAATCCTTATTAAAAACTCAACTAAGCATGGAAGGATCATACTGATCATATTGTTTGCAGTCCAGATTGGGAAACTTGAGTGTGAAAATGACACAGAGGCAGGTGTGACCTGAGACAGCCCTGGAAGGTGAGCAAGTTATCCCTATCTAAATCGTACTACTAGCAAGATGTCTATTAAGAGTGAGGAAATTACTTAATTCCGGTAACTCTCGGAGAATAAAAATGGCAGTGCTGAGAGAAAAATCAATCTCTTTTATATTGAAATGCAGTATTAAATTGGTGAGAAAAAAAGTTATACAAACAAACTGGAAAATATACCTAATATACATACCCAAATAAAACTGTAGCTTTCTAAATTACAGCCTCTAGATATATCTTTTAATCTATATATTGTTTGAGGCAGGGTCTTGCTCTGCCACCCAAGCTGAAGTTCAGTGGTGCAAACATGGCTCGCTGGAGCCTCGACCTTCCACACTCACGCAATCTTCCTGCCTCAGCCTCTCGAGTACCTGGGATCACAGGCATGGCCACTACTCCACAGCTCGCTATTTTTTGAGACAGAGTGTCGCTCTATCACCCAGGCTGGAGTGTAGTGGCATGATCTCAGCTCACTGCAGCCTCCTGGGTTCAAGTGATTCTCCTGACTCAGCCTCCCGAGTAGCTGGGACTATAGGTGTTCACCACCATACTCGGCTAATTTTGGTATTTTTTGTAGAGACGGGGTTTCATCATGTTGGCCAGGCTGGTCTCAAATTCCTGGCATCAGCACACCTGGCTACTGTTAAAATTTTCTGTAGAGACAGGGTCTCAGTATGCTGCCCAGGCTGGTCTCAAATTCCTGGGCTCAAGTGATCCTGTCACCTCAGACTCCTAAGTAGCTGGGACTACAGGCGTGAGCCACCATGTCTGGCGTAAATTTGTATTTTTTATATACAATATAAAATATATAACATAAAATTTATCATCTTACCTATTTGTTTTTTAAATTGTAATTTATTTTTTTAAAGACAGGCTCTCTCTATATTGGCCAGGCAAGTCTCAAACTCCTGGGCTTAAGCAGTCCTCCCTTGGCCTCGCAAAGTGTTGGGATTATAGGCATGAGCTGCTGTGCCCCACCCTCAACATTTTTAAGTACATTCACATTGTTGTGACAAATCTCCAGAACGTTTTCATGTCGTATAACTGAAACTCTGTACCCATTAAATAACAGCTCCCTATTCCCCAGTCCTTGGTAACCACATTCCACTTTGTTTCTGTGAATGTGACTACTTCAGATACCTCACGTAACAGACTTAGTTTTATGTAAGAAAGCATTATTGTAAATATCTATACACATCAGCTAGGTATTTCTCACATGTTGCTTTGCCCTTGCCTCATCCTTCTGAGGATCTTGGCAATTAGAACTGAAGAGTTAGTTTCCTACAGCCTCAAATTTGGAAGTTGATTTGAAAACTCTGAACTGTCTGACGAGTCACCATTTGAGTATCATTGAACACAGAACCATGACCAGCTGTCTCCCACCCCTCTGCTGTGGAGAACAGAGTCACACTTCAGGCAGAAGTCTCACATACGGTTTGCTCAGAGGCCTCTCCAACATTGTCGTATTCGAGAATGGCCTTGTACAGGGTGTTGAGCAGGTGGGAGGCCCGGACGACGTTTCGAGTATCAGGTGGAACTTCTGCTACTCCGGTGCTAAACACTCTGTGCAGAACCTTGAGCTGAGCCAATCGAGGTGACAACTTGTCCACCACTATTGCAAGAGTTATTGTAGCATCTGCAAATATCAACAAAGCAACTCAATAGCAAGGAAAAATACATGCATCTAAAATGTGACATAAATGCTGGCAAATCATCAGGTTTAAGGACAGGCAGGGGAAAATGAAGGATGGTAGATTTTGATCTCACATCACAAGGACCCCACTTCCCTAAGGAAGAACTCCTGCAAGTCATGGAGAAAAAGATAACTCAGCAGAAAAATAACATATAAAGTAACTGACAGTTCACAGAAAAGGAAAGATGAGTGGTTCTAAAACATACAGAAAGTCACGCTACCTTACTTATAATAAAAGAATGCAAATTAAAATTATACAAGGTAAAACAGAACACCTCCTCATGGGCCAATGTTAGTTCAGGAGGCTCTGCCTACGGAGGGCTGCACACGCTCCTGTGAGGTGACGGTACAGCTGGGAGCTCAACATGGAAGTCACCATGTGGAACTATACATGAAGATACTACACCCACCCCTGCTCAAAGCAACTTCCTGCAACACTGGTAAACTGTGTCAGGTCTGCAGCTTGGCTAATGGGCCGTGCCAGTGTCAGTCTCCCAGTTTTGATCATGTACTGCAACTATGTGAGGTTTTGCCACCGGGGGAAGCAAAGTAATGGGAACACAGAACCTCTCTGTATTATTTTCTGTGGTAATTCAAACTAAAAGTTAAGGGTAAAAAGCTACATGGGTTACCATTTTACATCTGCCATAATGGTGAGGATCAAAATGTCTGACAACACACAGATGTCAAGGGTGTGAGGAAACAGGTATTCATCTACATGGCTCACAAGAATATACATTTGTTTACGTGTACCTCCCCATAAAGTGGCAAAACTCAGCAAAATCACACATGGCAATTCCATTTATAAGAACCTACCCTACATGGTCGGGTGTGGTATAATTCCAGCTCGTGCCTGTAATATCAGAATTTTGGGAAGCTAAGGTGGGCAGATCACCTGAGGCCAGGAGTTCAAGAGCAGCCTGGTCAACATGATGAAACCCTGTCTCTATTAAAAATACAAAAAATTAGCCGGGTGTGGTGGCATGTGCCTGTAGTCCCAGCTACTCAGGAGGCTGAGGCAGGAAAATTGCTTGAACCCAGGAGGCAGAGGTTGCAGTGAGCCGAGATCACGCCACTGCACTCCAGCATGGGCAACAGAGCGAGACTCTGTCTCAGAAAAACAACAAATAAAAAACCAAGAAGTGGCCGGGCGCGGTGGCTCAAGCCTGTAATCCCAGCACTTTGGGAGGCCGAGGCGGGTGGATCACGAGGTCAAGAGATCGAGACCATCCTGGTCAACATGGTGAAACCCCGTCTCTACTAAAAATACAAAAAATGAGCTGGGCATGGTGGTGCGTGCCTGTAATCCCAGCTACTCAGGAGGCTGAGGCAGGAGAATTGCCTGAACCCAGGAGGCGGAGGTTGCGGTGAGCCGAGATCGTGCCATTGCACTCCAGCCTGGGTAACGAGAGCGAAACTCTGTCTCAAAAAAAAAAAAAAAAAAACCCCCCCCAAAAAGCTCTTCATATTTTTATAGTATTATCCTCAAAATTTAAATTAGAAATATTTGAAGAGAGTAGAGTAATGACTGTTAGGTATGGGTATATGTATACGCATTTGCTTGTGTGCTGAACTGTATCTGGAAGGATGTCTAAGAAGCCGAGGACCTGGCTGTCTCTGGGGAGGGGAACCCACTGGCTGGGGAAGTGGTGCAGGAAGACTAATTTAGATTTTTCCGTGTAAATCCTGTGTAGTTTTTTGATTTTGAGAGATATGAATGGGTTAAAAATACAAATTTAATTAAAAAAATGGGCCGGGCGCGGTGGCTCAAGCCTGTAATCCCAGCACTTTGGGAGGCCGAGGTGGGTGGATCACGAGGTCAAGAGATCGAGACCATCCTGGTCAACATGGTGAAACCTTGTCTCTACTAAAAATACAAAAAATCAGCTGGGCATGGTGGCGCGTGCCTGTAATCCCAGCTACTCGGGAGGCTGAGGCAGGAGAATTGCCTGAACCCAGGGGGCGGAAGTTGCGGTGAGCCGAGATCGCGCCATTGCACTCCAGCCTGGGTAACAGGAGTGAAACTCCGTCTCAAAAAAAAGAAAAAAAAAAAAAAAATGAAGTATTCCTGAGAACTACTTATTTGCCAGGCAACTTTCAAATCTTATATAATGAAAAATCTAAATGGCATTCTAATTATGGGTTACGTATAGTATGAGCAAAACTGAAGAACATTTAATACCATTATTGATGATGCACTTCTCAATTTCTGCAAGTTCTTCTTTGAAGCTAATGAAGTATTTGTACAGGGCCCACATGAAAGCCTGGTAGGTTCTAAAGGGAGCTTCAGGTGACTTCTTAGGAACAGACCCACTTCCAGGAAGCATGCTTTCGGAACTGTGTCCCATGACTTCATCAATGAACTCCTGGAGTCGAAATACAACCTGGCCATATGCTGCTATTTGTTCCAGCACAGATCGTAAACAGCTCTATGACAGAAGCAAACTGCAATTATTCAAAGGTGATCTTCTGTAAACATTCAAATTCATTTCCCTCTCACTGTAAAATATTTCTTTTACAATTCTTTTAAACAGTATGTTTAGTAGAAGACAAAGTCATAAAATGATGAATAGTTTTATACACAAAGGAAAAAGGGTGAGCATTAATTTCAATAGACTAGAGAATTATAGCTTATATTTTAAAAAAATATACATAAGGTAATCTACTTAAGGCAAAAAAAATTACAGTATGTAGCTTTATAATACAGAATGACAGATCTAAACAGCATAAAATGCAAACTGAAATTAAGTATGTCCCAAAGAATATTAAGGAGTTCTCTTAAGTACTGTAAAGATACACAACTCAATTTTTCTTTTTGGATATTAAATATTTATTTATTTGTTTTTGAGATGGAGTCTTGCTCTGTCGCCCAGTCTAGAGTACAGTGGCATAATCTCAGCTCACTGCAACCTCTGCCTCCTGGGTTCAACAGATTGTCTTGCCTCAGCTTCCTGAGTAGCTGGGATTACAGGTGCCTGCCACTGCGCCTGGCTAATTTTTATATTTTTTAGTAGAGACGGGGTTTCACCATCTTGGCCAGGCCGGTCTCAAATTCCTGACCTCGTGATCCACCTACCTCAGCCTCCCAAAGTGCCGGGATTACAGGCATGAGCCACCGTGCCTTGCCTGGATATTAAATAGTTTTAAATTAATCTTTTTTGCATAAGGAAGCACAAACGAGTTCAATTATAGTTAATTTCAATATTGCAAAATATTCTAAAATTATATTAGCCCAGTTTACATAAATCCTATTTCTTAAATAACAATAAATATAAATAACTTACATGTGTTAAATGAGTTACTATAATATTGTTTCTCACAGTTACTTTTCCATCTATCAGCTGAAATATAAAGAGCTTTTTCACTCCTGAAAGTAACCTGAAATTAGATAAAAAAGATGCGTGTACTTTAAGTCTAGAAAAAAATTCATGACAGTATGCCCAGAAAATTTTTTTTTTTTTTTCCCCACTGGGTCTCACTTTGTCACCCAGGCTGGAGTGCAGTAGTGATCACAGCTCACTGCAGCCTCAACCTACTGGGTTCAAGTGATTCTTCCGCCTCAGCCTCCTGAATGGCTGGGGCTACAGGGAAATGTCACCATGCCTGGCTAATTTTTGCATTTTTTGTAGAGATGGGGGTTTCACCATGTTGCCTAGGCTGGTCTTGAACTCCTGATCTCAAGTGATCCACCCACTTTGGCCTCCCGTAATGCTGGGATTACAGGTGTGAGCCACAATGCCCCACTTCAGGAAATTTTTATTAAATATTCAGAATTAAGGGGTAACAAGGTCAGATAATAAGAAAATGGAAGACATCAATCTTTTCATCTGATTACCTTACGACTCAAGATATTTCAACATCGTCTGAGAGAGAAGTCCAAGACATATTGTCAAAGCATCTCCCCCATATACTAGATGACCCAAGAGATCTTCCTATTTCTTTTCTTTTTTTTTTTTTTTTGAGATCTTCCTATTTCTAAGAAGCCCAGCACGTCAATATCATACTTAATGGTGACAGTGCCAGGACCTGGAATTTTAATAGTAACAGCACCACATGCTGCATTAGATTCCTGGCTTCCAGGTATGGTACAGGCCCTCACTGATACTCTGCCTATTAGGAATAGCAGTAAACCTTGCTTTGAACTCAGGTGTTAAAGAAGTGATGGACTAATCTAAGTAAATCATATGCTAAACTATTTAAAATAAAAATGAAGTAAACATGTCAAAATCTCTCAATTTCCACAGTCAAATTTGCTCTGAACTTTACACCTAATGGTCTATTTCTAGTTGGCATGTGAAAATGCTTTGTTTCCTTTAATAAAAGTTTTGCTTCTCAGTAATCAAGCATCATAAATAAAGACTATTAATTAAGTGAATGTATCTCACCACAGCGTTTCCCGAATAACCTGAGTCTCGGTAACCAAAACCCTGTCATCTGGAACATACAATGGATCACTGCTGTACAAGTGTTGGTCCCTATGAGACAGCAAAGATAAACGTCAACAAAACGGTTTCTAAGTAAGTAAATAACTTATCTCAAAGAATATTCACAATTTAGTACTAACCTTAACTGGCTATCAATTAGCAAGTACACATAATAAATGGCTCAAATGCCCCCCCATTTTCTTTTTTTTTGATACGGAGTCTTGCTCCATCGCCAGGTTGGAGTGCAGTGGCACAGTCTTGGCTCACTGCAACCTCCACCTCCCGGGTTCAAGCGATTCTTCCGCCTCAGCCTCCCGAGTAGCTGGGACTACAGGTGCATGCCAAACACCTGGCTAATTTTTGTATTTTTAGTAGAGACGGGGTTTCACCATGTTGGCCGGGATGGTCTCGATCTCTTGACCTCGTGATCCACCCGCCTCAGCCTCCCAAAGTGCTGGGATTACAGGCGTGAGCCACCGCGCCCGGCCGCCCCCCCCCCCATTTACACATCACTCAAAATCCTGAGAAACACTTTCAGAACAATTGCAATTGTTATGTTTATTGCTAATTTAGGCAAATGTTTACAACTATGTGATGCTGTTTTCTGGAAAACAATATGTCTATTTTTATAGTAAATATACCAAAACAGAAATCAAATAATGCTCTAATATATACCAATCAATTTTCCTTGAAGTGAACAAAAAAATCAAAATATAGATTATAATTAAGTAATACTATAATTTTATGATTTTCAGCAGCAATTAAATAATCAAAAACTATTCAACTAGAATTTTCAACACTGGCCAGGTGTGCTGGCTCATGCTTGTAATTCCAGCACTTAGGGAGGCCAAGGCAAGTGGATCACTTGTGGACAGGAGTTTGAGACCAGCCTGGCCAACATGGTGAAACCCCATCTCTACTAAAAATATAAAAATTAGCTGGGTGTGGTGGTGTGTGCCTATAATCCCAGCTACCTGGGAGGCTGAAGCATGAGAACTGCTGGAATCCGGGAGGCAGAGGCTGAAGTGAGCCATGATTATACCACTGCACTCCAGACGGGTGACAGAGCAAGACCTACTCTCCCCTCGCCAAAAATAAATAAAAAATAAAAAATTAGTTGGGTGAGGTGAAGGCTGCAGTGAATCGAGATATCACCAGTGCACTGCAGCCTGGGCAACTAGAGTAAGACTGTGTTCAAAAAAAAAAAATTGTCAAAACCAAAACAAATTTAAATTCCAGGGAAGAACTGAAGTCACAAATCAAGGCCAAATGTTTAAACATCAAAGTTTTTTCTATTACCACATTAAATGAAAACTTTAGCTTCTTACCAGACAGCAGCTAAATTGGAGTGCAAATGCAAGCTATGAGGAAACTGGGAGGGCCTGGCTGTCCAGTACTGATGGACCACGTGATGTTCCAGCCAGCTTCTGTCATCTGGCTCATCAGCTTGAAAGAAACATAGTAAGTTTGACTTATAATAGTTAATGACAATAACAACAACAATAAATACTGGGTCACAATATCTGGACTTATAGATCCATTCAAATGTATAGTTGAAAATGGCTGGCCGGGTGCGGTGGCTCAAGCCTGTAATCTCAGCACTTTGGGAGGCCGAGGCGGGTGGATCACAAGGTCAAGAGATCGAGACCATCCTGGTCAACATAGTGAAACCCCGTCTCTACTAAAAATACAAAACATTAGCTGGGCATGGTGGCACGTGCCTGTAATCCCAGCTACTCAGGAGGCTGAGGCAGGAGAATTGCCTGAACCCAGGAGGCGGAGGTTGCGGTGAGCCGAGATGGCGCCATTGCACTCCAGCCTGGGTAACAAGAGCGAAACTCCGTCTCCAAAAAAAAAAAAAATAATTAGCTGGGTGTGCTGGCATGCACCTGAAGTCCCAGCTTCTTAGGAGGCTGAGGTGGAGGACAACTTAAGCCCAGGAGGTTGAGGCTCAAGTCAGCTGTGATCATGCTACTGCATTCCAGCCTGAGTGACAGAGCAGGACCCTATCTTTTTAAAAAAAAAAGTGAATCCAAAATTGAACCCAATCTAATAATGTACTAAAAATAACATGATCGAACAAGTTTAGGTGAGGAATTCAAGGATAATTCAATATCAGAAAGTCTATCAATGTATTATTAGGATAAAACAGAACAGTTACGGGATTATCTCACAGATAAATAATAGCATTTAATAAAAATTCAACATTTATTTATGATTAAAGACTTGTAGAAAAAAGGAATAGAAGGAAATTGTCTTAATTTGATAAAGGCTACATACCCTGAACTAATACCAAACAATCATCACACTTAACGAAGGAGTTTCAGGCATAACCCCCCTTAGGATGTGACCTAGTTGTCCAGGAAGCCCGCTCCTATGAGCTGTTGCTTCCGCTACAGAATAGAGGGCTAGGCTGATGGGCCAGAAAAGAGATTTGATCACCACATCACAGAGAAGACACAGTCATAAGAACTAGCAGGAGGACATAAGACCATATTTGCAGATGACACTAAAAACCAATTTTAGCAGATGACACTAAAACCATATTTGCACATAAAAACCAGTATTTGCAGATGACCCTAATCATCTGTATAAGAAACCAAATGGAATCAACAAAGTATTATGATTCATATCAGAATTTAACAAAAAGGCTGCATATAAGGACAACTTACAGAAACCAGTATTATTTCCTCTACAGCAGGAATAAACAAAGGAAGTATCATTCACAAAAATAAAAACTGTCACAGATGTAGAAATTAACAAGTGAACACTCGAGATCTTCAAAAAGAAAATTTCCAAAATCTAGTAAAAGTTAAAGAATTATGATAAATGTAGAAAAAAACATGTTAAGGCAATCAAACCTCCCCAAGTTAGATCTATGAATTCTCTGCAATCCCAATAACAATTCCACCTGGATTTTTTCTTTTTTGAGATGGAGTTTTGCTCTTGTTGCCCAGGATGAGTATAATGGCATGATCTTGGCTCACTGCATCCTCTGCCTGCCAGGTTCAAGTGACTCTCCTGCCCCAGCCTCCCAAGTAGCTGGGATTACAGGAATGCGCCACCACGTACAGCTATTTTTGTTTTTTTAGTAGACATGGGGTTTCACTATGTTGGTCAGGCTGGTCTCAAACTCCAGACCTCAAGTGATCCACCTGCCTCGGCCTCCCAAAGTGCTGGGGTTACAGGCATGAGCCAGGTGGGCCTTTTTTTTTTTTTTTTTTAAGTTTACCAACTTGCTTCTAAAATGTCTATGGAAGAATAAAAGTTCACAAATAGCTAAGCCAATTTTGAAAAAGAACAAAGTGGGCTGGGTGCAGTGGTTCACACCTGTAATCCCCACACTTTGGGAGGCAGAGGCGGGTAGATCAGTTGAGGTCAGAAACTCAAGACCAGTCTGGCCAACATGGAGAAATCCCGTCTCTACTAATAATATAAAAATTAGCTGAGTGTGGTGGTGTATGTCTGTAATCCCAGCTACTTGGGGAAGCTGAAAGGGGAGAAAAAAAAAGAAAAGCAAAGTGGGCTGGGCATAGTAGCCTACACCTGTAATCCAGCACTTTGGGAGGCAGAGGCGGGTGAATTGTTTGAGTATAGGAGCTGGAGACTAGCCTGGGCAACATGGTGAAACCCTGTCTCTACAAAAAATAGCTTGGTGTGGTGGCACTTGCCTGTGGCTCCAGCTACTCAGGAGGCTGAGGTGGGAGGACTGCTTGAGCCCAGGAGTCAAAGGTTGCAGTGAGCTGAGATTGTGCCACTGTACTCTAGCCTGGGCAACAGAGTGAGACCCTGTCTCCAAAAAAAAAAAAAAGAAAGGAAAACAGAGCAAAGTGATTCTTCTGCTTCAGCCTCCCAAGTAGCTGAGAGGAAACCTGCCATCTATGTATTAAGACATAATATTATAAAGCCACAACAATAACACTGTCTCTTTCCAGGTCACACTGACACCAAGAGCACAGAGTAAATAAGTCTGGAATAAATACAGCTGTCCTTCAGTATCCACCAGGGATTGATTGCAGGAATGCTGCAGACACCAAAATCCGTAGGTCCTCAAGTCCCTGATAAAAAATGGCATAGTGTTTGCATATAATCTATGGATATCCTCCCTTATAGTTTTATTTTAATTTTTTTTTAGACAAGGTCTCGCTCTGTTGCTGGAGTGCAGTGGCACAATCTTAGCAAAATCAGTCACAATGTTGGAAAAATAAAAAAACGATGGAAACATTTAGGCCTAAGAAAGTTGTCAGAACTATAGGAAAAAAATTACAAAATTAAACTACTACTACTAAGCATCCTATAGAAAGGATTACTAATGGTTTTAAAAATTGGTTTTATAAAGATGATACCACTTAGCTGATACCTTGATCACATGGAACTGATCTCAAGCTTGCCTTTTCTTGAGGAAATTGTCTATTAGAAAATGCCAGCACCTCACAACACACTGTACCTACCCTTCCAACTGATACAAGGACCCAGTTTTCTGTTTTGATCTTGTTCTTCTAATGGTGTCCTGTCTACCTGAATTCCAGAGTCCTCTCTGCTTAAGGGCTGTTGATCATTTTCCTCGTCACTTTCTTCAGACCAATTCTGATTAAAAAAAAAAATACACTTTAGCCTTACAGAGTATAACACTTAAAGCTATTTATATTAAAAGACCAAGAAGATTTTGAAGAAAAGCAAAAACTTTGAAGCAACATGGAACAGAAAAACAAAAACCAAATGAATTTTTTTTCTAAATCTCTTGGAAGTGCCTATGATAGGAATGGAAATTATTACTTTTTCTTTTTTTCTATAACGTTGAAACAATAAGGAATGGAATTATTTTTGGTGGCAAAAAGTCCCAAGATCACAGTTCCTTAAGAGATACTTATACTCAACCCTTCTTTTTTTTTTTTTTT